GAGGCCCTGCAAGTGCAGAGCAGGCTCCTCGCGGGTGCCTGGCACCTGAATGCGGGGGTGTGGGTGTGGGGAGGGGGGGCTTCCCTGGTATGCAAGCCCTGGTGTCCCTGTGGAGGGTAGCAGGGGGAGTGAGAGTGAGCTCTGTGGACACCCCGCATTCTCACTGCACCTCTGTCCCCATCATCCCTGTCCCCAGGTAGCCAGTGAAAGGTTGCAGTCCCCCACCCCAGTGCCGCAGGAGGTTGGTAGCCACCACCTACTCCCAGTTCCCCATCCCAGCTTGGAGCCCAGTCCTGATTGGGCAATCAGGGCCTGCCGGCCACTGGTCGCCATCTTCGAGGCAATTGGTTTGGGCCAGGTTCCCCTCCCCCCCCCTCAGCCCTGGGAGCTGGGTGGTGGCCCTGCCCCCTGCCACCTCCGCTGGTGGCTGTCTGTGGGGCGATTGGTGGGGCAATCGGGCCCACACTTGCACCTGCCTTGGCCTGGCGCCACCCACTCACCTGCTCCACCATCCCGCCATGGTCCTGCTCTCCTTGGGGACCATCGGGGCGAGCAGCACCTCCACTGCTGCCTGCTGCCAGCACTGAGTGACTGATGCCTGCCATGTTCTGTGCCACCCCCTGATGGTCAGCACATGTCATAACGAGCAGTCGAACTCCGGGTCAAACGCCTGGTCGAACAATTTGCATATTAGGCTTTTATTATATAGGATTTTTTTCACCTTGTTTTAGATATGTTCCTTGAAAATATCATATGTTTTGATAGCACTTTAAACTCCATCTTCTGTTTTTACTTCGAAATATATTGCTTGGGCATTCCAAATTTAATGTAATAGCTGATATATATTGTTTTATTCCTTCAATTTGTTTTATATTTTCTATGTATTTTATTTTGTTATTTTCTTCTGTTCTTATTTTTGCAGTTAGTTAATATTTTTAAAATTTCTTCCCTCTTGGTCGGACCTGCATTGCCACCATTTGTCCACCATCCAGAACTGAAATATCATTGCTGACATCTACACATAAGGAACTGTCGGACATTGAAACTTGGACTCAGAACTCTTGGACATTGAAATTGGGACTTAAAACATTTTTTTGTTCTTGAAATGTTATGCTTAAGTTTTAAAATGTTTTGGGTTAAAAAAAATAGAAGCAGGGGCATAGAAAGGGAATGGACTGATAATTCTTGGGGGGAAGGAGGTGTGGGGGGTGTGGGAAGAGACTGGACAAAAATCTTACACCTATGGATGAGGACAGTGGTAGGGGGTAAGGGCATGGGGTGGGGTGGGAACCTGGTGGAGGGGAGATATGGTGGAAAAAAGAGGAACATCTGTAATAATCTGAACAATAAAAGATTTATTAATTAAAAAAAAAGAAATATTCAAACCTGTAAAAAAAAAAAAAAAGAAAGAAAATTTCTTCCCTCTTGTTAAATTTGACATTCTACTATGTTTTTTAATACTGCAGGTGGATACTTTTCCATTCTTAATAGTGATTTTCACACACAAACACATATACATAATATCAAAGTAAAGTAATACATCGGCATTCCACTAACATGCCTTACTTGCCCATTCCCCCATCCCATATGATACTTAAATGTTTAGCAATACTTATTTCCAGGAAGAGACGTTTTACTAATCTTCACACAACCATAGGGTATTTCTAAGATAGTTTAAAAAAATTAGTTGGCTATTATTATAGTTTCTTTTATATGTTTCTTTTCTGTTTCAAGAATCCTGTTTAACTTGTCATTTAACTACAGTAAAACCTCGATATAATGGACTAATTCAGATGAGGGGGCATCCATTAAAGCCGCAAGTCCATTATATTATAAAATAGGTTTTCTGAAGGCGTATGTTAAAAAATTAACAAACTAATTAGTTTACCTGTTTTTTACTTATAGAGACATGTTCATGTAATTAAAGTTAAATATGTATGAAAAGTTTTACTTTACAGGAAAGTTTTCTATATGTATTACAGTAAATTTAAATTTATGTTGAATAGGTCTGGTAAATGGGTGCATTCACCAGTCACTGCCAGGAAACAAATGTACACAGCTGGGGCATGGCTCAGGGCATGTTGGAAGATTGGCCAGCACATGTTAAAACTGCTGCAGAAAGTCATGCCACACAACAACAGAACCAAATACTGTGAGCAATGCAGTGTGGTCACATGTTAATCATTCACCGAACATTATTTACAAGCAGTGAATCTTGGATTAAAATACATAGTCTATAGTTGTAGATATGTAACATTTATTTATGTCGGCAAAATTACTACAGTGTTTTTTCCAATACATGGCCTATATACGAAAATTTGTTTTAAATAACAGTGAATTAATAAAAAATAAAGTGTTAATTTAATTATAAGCAAATCTTGGCAAAGCATTTTTAAATTAATAGGATGTTACCTCACACCTGTCAGAATTGCTATCATCAACAAATCTACAAATGACAAGTGTTGGCGAGGATGTGGAGAAAAGGGAACCCTCCTGCACTGCTGGTGGGAATGCAGACTGGTGCAACCACTGTGGGAAACAGTATGGCGTTTCCTCAAAAAATTAACAATGAAACTTCCATTTGACCCAGTGATTCCATTTCTAGGAATATATCCTAAGAAATCTGAAACATCAATCAGAAAGCATATATGCACCCCTATGTTCATAGCAGCACAATTTACAATAGCTAAGATTTAGAAACAGCCTAAGTGCCCCTCAGCAGATGAGTGGATTAAAAAACTGTGGTAGATCTACACAATGGAATACTATGCTGCTGTAAAAAGGAAGGAACTCCTACCATTTGCAACAGCATGGATGTACCTGGAGAGTATTATGCTAAGTGAAATAAGCCAGTCAGAGAAAGATAAGTATCACATGACCTCACTCATATGTAGAATCTAATGAATAAAATAAACTGATGAATGAAATAGATCCAGAAACATTGAACCATGGAAAAGACAGAGAAATTTCAGAGGGAAGATGGGTGTGGGTAGGAGATTAACCAGGGAACTTATATGCACACTAGGGGCCCAGTGCACAAATTCATGCACATTGAAAGGAACTGTGGGTTGCAAGGCTGTGGTGGGCACAGGGGCAGGTCTCAGCCCATCCTCTGCACCTACACCTGGCCCCTCCCGCTGGAGCCCCTGGTCCCCTGTGTGCCTGCAGCCTCACTCCCGCCACCGCCACTCCCACATGCTAATGGCACTGGCTCCACTTACACCCACTGACTACACGGAGCAATTGGGGCCAGCACCAGCAGTGGGTGTGAGTGGTGGCTCCAGTACCAGCAGCAGTTGTGAGCTCCAGGTGGGACTGCGACACCGGGGAGCAAAGAATTTTCAGTAACAACCAGAGGCTTGCCCTGATGACAGCGACCAGTGCCCCGTCTTGGTCTGGTGCCCCTGCTCACCTGCTCCACCATCCTGTTGTGACCAATGGCCGCCATGTTCCACACACGCCCCCTGGTGGTCAGCGTACGTCATAGTGACTGGTTGTTCAGTTGTTCCTCTGTTTGGTCTATTTGCATATTAGGGTTCTATATATATAATCCATGGTCACAGACAATAGTGTGGTGAAGGCTTGGGAGGGGCGGGTGAGGGGAGGAGAGGGTCCATGGGGAACAAAACAACAAAACAAAGGGGAATCTGTAATACTTTCAACAATAAAGAAAAAAATTAAAAATAAAATTAACTGGGTGTTAATTTTCACATATGATATCCGGGCTGGAAATTTTGTTCATTAAATCTGAAGTCCATTAAATCTGAAGTCCATTAAATCTAGGTTTGCAAATCAAGGGTTTACTGTATAGATATTCAATTACATAAAAAGCATTCATCTAACTTATAAGTACCATAAGAAATAAATTTATCACTAATTTTTTTACATTGTTATTTTCCTTCTTTTGATTTCTCTGTTCTAAATAAACTCGCTTTTGATCAGAACACTTTCTCACATATTTTCTTAGATTAGGGTAGATGTTGTTAATGACATATGAATACTCATGTGTTCTTGAAATATTTTTCTTTTGCTTTTACAGGTGAACATATTTGGCTGGGTTTAGTAGTCTTTTTTTAAAGTTATATTGAGTTTTTATTGGTGTTTCTAAGAATATGTGTTTATAACAGTAAAAGTGTGATAGGTTAACTTAACATATTAAAATAGTTCTATAGCATCTGTTCAGAAAAAATATTACCATTAAAAACTATTCAAGTCATGCAAAACCATTTTTCAGTGTCTTTCAACTGAGAAGAATACTGTTCAGCACACTTCTCCTGAGGTAGTTCATACTGAGCAAGCTTTGTTTTCAGATTTTTATTTTCTTCTGTAAGAGCTTCATATTTCTCTTTCATTTCTGCCAAGTCTAGGTGGAGCAGCTTTATTTCTGGATTTTCTGGGGTAGCAGCTCCTAGGTGATGGTTTAAAAAATCCAAAGCACTATTGGGTTTCTCTGGTTCTTCAGACAAGGTTATACTAATGTAACAGGGAATGGATACGCCATACTTAAATAAAGCAAACCATATTAATCTTAGTAAATGTTAAACCCAGCTTATTACTCTAACCTGATTTTTTTTTATCTCAAAGCAAGAGCTTGCATGTTAAAAGTTTTTAGTATACTAGTACTTCACAGTCCAGCACTTTCAATTCCTGTGTGAACCTAAGGAGCAGCCTCACCTTTAAGGCCCAGTCTGGCATCCATTTCCCAGACTCAGGAATTCACTGACAAAAACCAGATGGCCAGCTCAAGGACACTGCCTACATGTCAACAGCCACTCCTGCTGATCTCTTTGTTCTGATTTTCCTCTCTCTCTCCTTATAAAAACCTTTGTCTGCACTGAATATTAAGATGATTTTTGAGGACAGGAGTCCCGCCCCCACACTCCCCCACATCTTCTCAAGTCACTAACAACTTGAATAAAACTCTTTCCTTCTCATAACCACCTGTGTCATGAGTTTGGCTTTTGTTGCACCAGGCAGCCAAACAAACCTGGTTGGGTTACACCAATACCTTGGTCATTGTATCCAGCACCCCTGACTTCTCCAAGTACCCCTGGAACTGCTTGCATTTGAATCAGCAGCTTTCTAATGGGTCATTGTGATAGTGGCAGTGGTGCAAATGGTGCTGGAGACAGTGGCTGGTGGGCTCTGAGCAGCATTGCTCATGTTGGGAAGAGCGTGCACACCTACCTGGGTATAGTAGCCTTTGATTGTAAACCTTTTCTCTCAGTGGTTTGTGGATCATGTCTCTGTCCTCTAGCTTCCAGTCTCAGCTTACAGATGAGAAGTCCATAATGGTCTGATTGTATTTCTTTTCTTTTTTTTCCAGTATTATTTTATTGTTTAAAGTATTATAAATAGTAGTACATATGTCTCTTTTTTCCCCCATTGACTTCCCGCCGGCCTCCCCCATCTCCGAGCATATGCCCTCACCCCCCTAAGTGTCTGTGTCCCCTGATTGTATTTCTTTTGTAAGTAGGCTATTATTTACTTTAGTTAACTTGACTATTTTCTTTTCATCTTTAAATTCTGAAATTTCACCAGGATATCTAAATTTTTTTCTCCTCATGAATCCTATGTATTATTAAATAAAATTTTAAAATCTAGACTTGGGTGTTCAGCTTGGAATAATCTTTTATCCTATATCAAATTATTACTCCTCTTCTCCTCCTTCTTTTAATTCTTTATTTCCTTTTGGGATTTTATTATTTACTAGAGGCCTGGTGCACAAAATTTGTGCATGGGGGGGTGTCCCTCAGCCCAGCCAGCACCCTCTCCAAGATGGGACCCCTCAAGAGATGTCCGACTGACCATTTAAGCCCAATCCCAGTGGGCCTAAACTGGCAGTCAGACATCGCTCTCACAATCCAGGACTCCTGGCTCCCAACTGCTCACCTGCCTGCCTGCCTGATTGCCCCTAACCGCTTCTGCCTGCCAGCCTGATCACCCCCTAACCACTCCCCTGGCAGCCT